AACCACCAGAGGTGCAGCACCCCCTACTGGACTCTTCTGGACTTTTCACCCCATTTAGTTTTTTCTTTACTGTTTATTTTCATTTTTTGTAATTTACTGTTTATTCTTATTCACTTGAAGATTTGAAAGTCAAACTTAAATCTCAAATCTACATAAAAATAAACAAACATGAAATCATCAGATCACATTTGAACTTGTTTTAATTTCGTGTTTTGTTTTCAATATTTTAAATTATTTTAAAAAATAAATTAATTTAAAACCAACAAAAATAATGTTTTCCATTTTAATCCCAAAGCTCTTTATTATTTATTAATTTAATAAGATAAACATTGTTGACAAATTATAAACTTTATTCTGAAAAGCTGTAAAATGATCTAAAATATAAACAGCAGGTGTTTCATACTGCTGGTGAAACCATCTTTATAAAAACTCTTTAAAACAGTTAACACAAATTTAAAAAATTATATTCAATGAAAATAAATAAAATAAAAGCATAAACAAGCTGGAAAGATAGAATAAAACATAAAAGATGCACTAAAACCGCTTTTATAAATCTATAAATGGTTCCAGCATAAGGGCATTTTTACCATCAGTCAGCAGAAAGCCACAGTCTCCTCCGAGCTTGAGCTGCGTCCTCAGCAGGTCCAGCGCCAGATGGTCAGGTTACCTGGGTGTCTGAGAAGGGGGTGACCCAAAGAGGTGAGACATGAACAGGCGAGGAGCCACTGAGGGTGAAACGGGACTGATGTGTTTCTCCGTCATGTGTCAGTTCAATGCCGAGCGGCTGCAGCTGAAGGAGACAGAAGACCAGCTATCTTCACCAGATGTTTGTCTTCACTGACAATCGCAAATCAAAGGAACTGGACCTGACATGTCTGAACCAACTGATCAATAAAAACTTGCTTTTGGTTTTCCATTCAGAATCAGGCTCCAGGTCCTTGGGAGTGGGCCCTCAGGCTTAATAAAGCAAATCATGGAAATCTCATAAATATTAGAACAAATTCAACTGAGCAGAAAACTAGAAAAATTAAATGTGGGTTGTTGAACATTAGATCCATTTTTTCTAAGACTTTGTTAATGACTTGATTTGTGATAATCAGATCTCTTTGCTCTCTCTCACAGAATCCTGGCTGCAGCAAGAGGACTATGTTAGCTTAAACGAGTCGACTCCTTCAAATTATTTAAATCATCATATTGCTCGAAGTACAGGGCGAGGAGGAGGAGTAGCAACCATTTTTCATTCGGATTTATTAATCAGTCCCTTACCAATTAATAGCAACAGTTCGTTTGAACATCTTATTCTTAGTTTTCCTAATCCATATTGCAAAACTGTAAAACCACTCTTGTTTGTAGTTTTATATCGTCCACCAGGCCCTTACTCTGAGTTTTTGGATCAGATCTCTGCTTTTTTATCTGATTTGGTGCTAAATACTGATAAGGTCATTGTAGTGGGGGGATTTCAACGTTCATGAAATGAATTGCCTCAATGTAGCCTTTAGTAATATCTTAGACTCAATTGGTTTTACTCAAAGAATACGTAGCTCCACCCACTCCTGCCATCATACATTGGACCTTGTTCTGACTTATGGCATTGAGTGTGAGGAAATAATGATCTTTCCACATAATCCAGTCCTCTCGGACCACTTTCTGATAACCTTTGAGTTTTTTATAACTGAGTTCTCGAGACATGAAAGTAAATTTCATTATAGTCGGTCTCTATCTGACAACGCAGTTGCATCTTTTAAATCAACTGTTCCATCTTTACTGTCCTCAGCATCTCAGAGGCATGTAGCAGAGGGCAATATTTTCAGTTCAAGCCCCTCACAAATTGATGCCTTAGTTCATCATGTGAATTCCTCTTTACGTGTGGCATTAGATGATGTTGCCCCTTTAAAAAAGAAGGTAATTAGAGACAGGAAGTTGGCTCCCTGGTTTAATTCTCATTTACGAGCCTTAAAACAAAACTCTGGGAAATTGGAGAGAACATGGCGCTATACGCACCATGAGGAGGCCTACCTATCCTGGAAAAATAGTCTTGTGCTTTATAAAAACAAGCTTCAACAAACTAGAACTGCTTATTTTTCAGCATTAATTGAGGAGAATAAGCATGATCCTAAATTTCTTTTCAGTACAGTTGCTAAACTTACACAGAATCATAGCTCTGAGCCATCTATTCCCTTAGCCCTCAGCAACAATGACTTCATGGGATTTTTTACAAGTAAAATTAATTATATTAGAAACAAAATCATTAGTATCCTCCCTAATGTGATTTCTTCTTCCTCAGTAAGTGAGGCAGCTTCAGAGGACCGTTTTGATCCAGTTGAGCTTTCAGATTTATCAAAAATATTAGCTTCATCTAAACCTTCAACTTGCATTTTAGATCCAATCCCAACCAAATTAGAAGCATTTCCTTTGGTTACTGCCCCCATTCTAGATATAATCAATCTATCCTTAGTAAATGGATATGTACCACAGGATTTTAAGGTTGCTGTAATCAAACCTTCACTTAAGAAGCCTTCTCTGGATCCAGATGACCCAAAGAATTACAGACCAATATCTAACCTTCCATTTTTATCCAAAGTCCTGGAGAAAATAGTGGCCATCCAAGTATGTCAGCATTTAAACACTAATGCTCTGTTTGAGGAATTTCAGTCTGGTTTTAGAGAGTATCACAGCACTGAAACTGCATTAGTGAGAGTTACAAATGATATTCTCATGGCCTCAGATAAGAATCTTGTGTCTGTTCTAGTCTTGTTAGATCTCAGTGCTGCCTTTGACACAGTTGATCACAATGTTCTTTTAGAAAGACTTGAACATGCTGTAGGGATCAAAGGAACAGCGCTAGACTGGTTTAAATCCTACCTGTCTGACAGATTTCATTTTGTAAACGTACATGACAAATCGTCTTCATACTCCAGGGTTACTTGTGGAGTACCACAGGGTTCAGTGCTTGGACCAATTCTTTTTACTATATATATGCTCCCAGTTGGTAAAATCATTAGACAGCATGGGATAAACTTCCACTGTTATGCTGACGATACTCAGTTATATTTATCCATTAACCCTGATTAACCTAATTGGTTGGGTAGATTACAGGCTTGTCTTGAGGACATAAAAAATTGGATGACTCTAAACTTTTTGCTTTTAAATCAAGACAAGACGGAAGTTCTCATCTTTGGACCAGAAATCCATAAAAGGAAATTGCTTAGCCAATCACCTGACCTGAATGGCATTACATTAATCTCCAAGAACAAAGTAAGGAACCTTGGTGTTATCTTTGACCAGGACATGTCATTCAAATCCCAGGTTACACAGGTTTGCAGGATTTTCTTTTTCCACCTTCGGAATATTGCTAAGATTAGAAGCATCCTTTCCAGGAGTGATGCTGAAAAACTAGTTCATGCATTTATTACATCAAGACTGGATTACTGTAATTCATTACTCTCAGGAAGTCCACAGAATGTAGTTAAAAGTCTTCAGCTTGTCCAAAATGCTGCAGCTAGAGTTCTGATGAGAATTAAAAAGAGAGATCATATCTCTCCTGTCTTAGCTTCCCTACATTGGCTACCTGTTAAATTCAGAATAGATTTTAAGATCATTCTTCTCACATATAAAGGTCTTAATAATCAAGCTCAATCATACATCAGTGATCTGATTGTTCCATATGTTCCTAACCGAGCACTTCGCTCTCAGACTGCAGGTTTACTGGTGGTTCCCAGAATATCTAAAATTAGGATGGGAGGCAGATCTTTTAGTTATCAGGCTCCTCTCCTGTGGAACCAGCTCCCAGCTTTAGTCCATGAGGCAGACACTTTGTCTACTTTTAAGAATAGGCTTAAAACATTTTTATTTGATAGGGCCTATGGTTAAAATCTGATGTTAGCCTAAATCTGGACAAGTGGGGAGTAGAGGGAGGTGGAGTGTACAGTCGGTAAAGACGGCTCTCCCTTGCCCTGACTCCAACATGCCTCCATCTAAATAGGATAGATTATCCAGTTATCTCTGTAGTTATGCTGCTATAGGCTTAGACTGCTGGAGGATACACTGACCACTTTTCACACTCTGCTACTTTCTTCTACAATCTGCTCTTTAACTGTATTATTTTCTGCAATTTCAGCTGTTAAATTTATTTTCTCTCTAAGTGTTTTTCTCCCCAGAAGAAGCTACAATGATGCTCTGCTGAGCTGTGGTGGCCTCATGGAGGGGGCCATCGTCTAGCACATTGCTGCTAACCACTTAAACATTCTCCCTCTCCTGATAACTTTTTGCTTTCCTTGACGTTGGATGTGCTACTACTAGTTTATCCATTTAATTATAGATCCACTAGGATAAATACAATAAAGTTTATCTCTCACCAAATAGAATATTTACTAAGAAATCACAATGTAACCATAGAAACATTTCTTTGTCTTTGTCTGTGTGTGTTTCTGCTCTGTCTTCTCGATCCCCAGTGAGTCATGGAGGATGGCTGCTTATACTGAGCCAGGATTCTCTGGAGGTTTCTTCCTGTTAAAAGGGAGTTTTCCTCTCCACTGTCGCTTTATGTTTACTTAGTATGAGGATTGCTGTAAAGTCACTGACACTAGTCAGTGACTTGATGCAATTTGCTGGGTTCCTTATATAGGAAACATTATTTCTGATCGGCTTAATGAACTGACCTGGATTGGAATGTTTATTATGTGAAGTGCCTTGAGACGACTCTTGTCGTGATTTGGCGCAATATAAATAAACTTGAATTGAATTGAAGGTACCAGAACCAAACACTTAAGGTTATGAAAGTTCATCCAGGATTTTATTTCCTCCAGCCGAGTTTGTGTTATAGCTGTCCTTCTGGGTCAGGGGCAGATCCACCAGAACAGGCAGATCCAAACAGTACCAAGTATCATGCCCTGTATAACCGCAGGTAAGGTCTGAACCACTCCAGGTCCACCAACACGGGTCTCCAAACCAGATCATTAAGACCCAACCTCTGACTGAACACACAAACATGAAGATCTGGGTTTTATTTAAACAGAAAAGTTTTATTTCATCAGAATTCTCAGTTCTGATCAGCCCGTCTACAGCTGCTGGTACACAGAAATTAAGGTGCTTCAGTAAAAAATAAGTTGAACCAAAAATGATTTGAAGTTCTGAGTCTCAGGAGGGCGAAACGGGTCTCTGTGGTTCTGATCCGTCAGAACCAGTCAGTGGGTTTGAGTGTTTGGAAGAGCTAGGAGAAATTCTAACAGATCAGTCAAATCAGAACCTCATTAAAGTTCTGCTGTGAAACCAAACCTCCAGATTACATACATTTAGTTAATAATATAAATTAAAGTATTTTTAGCAGATTTAACTTCCTTTTTATGTTTCTTTACTTTTTTCTGAGTGAATTTTAACCCAAAATGTTCTGACTCTAGAATTTAGAATCCGATTTAGATTTTATAAACAGACCAGAGACCAGGCTCATGGCACGGTTCTGTTCAGACCCAGTAGAACCAGATCTCCGTCAGGTTCCTGCTGAGGTGAGGAGGTCCGTTTGTGAATCCGTTTAGTGTTTCTTGGTCCGTTTGGATGCTGATGAGAACTTCAGGCCCAGAAAGTCTCTCAGCCTCTTCCTCACATCCTTAAAGTCCCCCTGCTCCCGTGGCATCTCAGTGCCACTCACCGAACAGCTCGGACCTTCGCCACTGGCTTTGTCAGATGTTGGAGCGACCAGGAGTGAAGCAGGAAGTTCTGCTCCTAAGGTTTCCTTCAACTTCTTCAGGAAACTTTGCTGCAGCTTCTCCAACTCTTCGCTCTGCCAACAGGGAAAACAACTGAGTAACAGAACCAAAAACAGATCAGAACCTTCTTCTGAACCATCTGATTAGATCATCTGAACTACAAACCTAATCCAGAACCCATGACACAGTCCCGGTCCTTCAGGACCACCAACCGGCTTGTTTTGCATGTTTCTCTGCTCCAACATTCCAGACTGTCCTAAAGCCCAACCGAAGACCCATTTCATCTCACCAGGCATGTAGGATCAGAGGGACATCAGAACCAGGCAGGAAGGTGGACCTCCAGGACCACAACTGCTGTAAAGCGGTTCTGGTTGATTTACTCTCGCCTTTGGTCCTGGTACCAGAACCATTAATCTCTGAGCCAGAATTGTGTCAATAGAACAGAACCTGTTTGAACTGGACCTTTGTGGTACCAGCAGCTGGTCTCAAAGACTCGAGCTGGTTATGGGTGGTAGAACCAGGACTTTAGCTCTAACAAGGTGGTTCTCAGAGACTCTGGTCCAGGTCTGTGATGGACCTGTTCACGCCTTTAGAACTCCAGAGAGTCGTACCTGTGAGGAGTCCAGAAACAGAGTCCAGAGGTCGGAGACGAGCTGAGCGGCGGTCTGGTACGGAGGGGGGCGATGGTGGGTCAGGCGTTCTGATATCAGAACCACATCAGACCAAAGATCCAACTGAAACAAGAGAGGAGACTTCAGCCTGTCTGAGGAAACCCAGGTGGACCAGGGGACAACCCAAAACGAGTTAAAGATCTGACCTCTGAGAAGCGACGGCAGCCTTCGACCTTCAGGTGCAGCAGGAGCGTCTCACACCTCTGAAACACAACAGGACAGACAGAAAGAGTTTGGATCAGTGGGACGGGATCAGAAAGTTCCATTGAGTCTCGGATCTTACCCTCTGGTCCAGCGGGCTCAGACCGGTACCCTGAAGACTTTTTGGTCTGTCAGAACTGTACGGGTCTGACGGATCCGACAAGTCCTGACATAACGAACAGATCCACTCTGACCTGCAAGTCACAAACAGAGTCTGACCTCAGACCAGCTGGGTGTTTAATCCCACCAGCACCAACAATCCAGACTGGGAATAATAAAACCCACTGGTCGCTGCTGGACCCTGATCACATTTAGATTTTAGTCCAGCTCCAGATCATTTTGGTGACTTCTCCTTCTTTACCTGGAAGGTCCTTCATCTGCAGCTGCATCAGAGGCTGGAGGTGGTTTCTTACCAAATGTCAGGTCCAACTGGAGGGACATGACAGTCCACGTGGTACCCACGTCCGCACATCGAGCAGATTTTGGACGCACTGGGAGACAAACACGCAGAGCAGGAAAGGACCTCGACGGACATCGGAGAGTCAGAAGACCCAGACTTTGTGAAGTCTTCAGTGACGTCAGAGTCTTCGTCTGAGACGTTGGAGACGTGGGGCTGGAACACAGCAGGGCAGTAAGCATGAGGAGGTTCCTCAGGATTTATGAAACACCATCAATGATCAAGTTCTCCTTTACCTCCTTCAGGTGGATTATATTGTCATCGTCTCCCAGGACCACCTCGAAGCTTGGCAGGAGACGTGTACGGTCTGTAAGAGACACGGGTAGTCTCATCAGAGACACTCTGGGCTGCATGTGGGCTAGGACGAAGGCTCGCTGTCGGGTCTGTAGGCTCTGTGGGGCTTCGGTGTCACGGTCAGACATTTCAGAGATGTTCAGCTTCAGATCAGCTGCTTTAGTGAAAGGGAAGCTTAGCTCATCCTCTGAAGACACGGGTGGAAACAGTCCAACCCTGTCTTCGTCTGGTGTATTGGTGGCTGGTTGGACCTCAGTGAACAGCCGCCCTGCAGGGCGGGTTTCTTCAGGAGTGATGATCTCATCTACAGATGAAATGGGAGAATAAGGTTTCATCTCCTCCGATTCACTTGTGGCCCACTCAAACTCGCCTGCCTCCGGCCTTTCTGAAGGTTTTGTCTCCTCGGGGTTGATGGTGGTGAGACGGTCCTCTGAAGAAACGGGTGAAAAGGGTTCTCCATGAGGTTGGATGTCTTCAGACTCCTTCAAAATGAAACACTCCTCTGCGGGGTTGGATTCTTCTGGATCCTTGGAGAAGAGCTCATCCTCTGATGAAATGGGAGAAAACAGTCCACCGTAGAGCTGGGTGTCTCCAGGATGGACGGAGGGTTTTACCTCATGATCTTCAGGAGGAGATTTCTCCTCTGCAGGGTTGGTAAACTCTGAGGTTGGTTGGATGTCAGGTGTTACAGGTGAAGAGACATCTTCCTCTATTCTGGTTTCTCCCGACTCAGCCGTCCCTGGTTTGGACACAGAGGTAGTCTTGTCCAAGGAAAGATCCTGGTGCTGGTCGTTGAAGTGAGAAGGACTAGAAGCTGGGTTCTGATCCAAGAGCAGCTGATGGTCGGAAGCAGCACATCTGCTGTGTGTGGATCTCTTCTGGTCTGTGACCAAAATCGGTGTCTGGGTCTGTGGCACTGCTGCAAGGAAGAATGCACCTCCCGATGGGGGGAGTGTGGAGTCGGTCCCAACTGTGGAGGAGGATGAAGGTGGTGCAGCAGTCTGGGGGGCAGGAAGGTGTAGTTGTTGGGTGTCTTTCTGCATGACATTAGATGGAACTGCTTGAGTGGGTAAGATGAACTCGGGACGATTGACATTCACCCATTGAACAATTGACTGAGACAAGTTGGGATGGTCTTTTTGGACAGAAGCAGAGCTGGTGGAAATGGTGGTGTGGGAGGACACATGATGACCAACCTGAGTAGAGGCTGAAGGTGTTCGTGATGATGATGAAGCCTTGTGGTTTTGACGGCGGACGGAGGAGGCTATAGGGCCAGCGCTCGAGGAGGACCTGAGGGATACGGTGGGGACAATGTCCCACATCCCAGGGGTGAACCATCTTCTGCAGAGCGGTTCTGATTCAGACATCAGCTGGGACTTGCTCAGAATGTTGATCCGAATGGAGTCAGAACCACTGGTAGTTGATGCACGGAATGGTGGGGGCTCAGAAGCAGGAGGGACACAGGACAAAGGAGAAACCTGTAGGGAGGAGGACACGAACAGCGGGGGAGGGGGGTTCTGGTTGTCCAAGAACTGGTGCAGGAGCCTGTAGTTGGTGGGAGCTATGACAAGAGGAGGACCCAATGGCTCTGACGTGGACTGTGAACGTGAACCAATGAGACAGGTGGGGACAGGGTCAAGGACATTTGAAGAACTGAAGCTAGAACTGAGTGGAACCACAAAGGTCAGAGAGGAGGAAGACGGACAAACAGAGCTGACTAAAGCGTTGGGTGTTATGGAGACATGACTTTTGGAGGGAGGAGGACAGGTCGAGGACGGAGGAAGACGAACCTGAGAAGAGAGGGAACCTGATGATGAAGGCTCAGCAGATGCAGGAAGAGACTTGGCACCAGAGGACTTCCCAGTCCTGGTAGAAGGTCCGGGTGGGGGACTGGGACACACGAGGGGGGGAACTAAATCTGATAAGGACAGCAAAGGAGGACGTTGCTGGTTGGAGGCAGCTTCCCTACTGGTCCCAGTTTGAGGTATGATCTTACTGGAGAATGTTAACAGGTTGGAGGAGTCTAATGATGAGGAGGTTGTGAGTGACACTGGGCATGAAGCAGGACCACTAATACCATTACTGGTTTTACTGGTGGAGGTGAGGAGCTGATTGATGAAGGAGGACTTGAGGGGCTGACTGATGGAGGAGGAGGTGAGGGGCTGACTGGTGGGGGAGGAGGTGAGGGGCTGACTGATGGAGGAGGATGTGAGGGGCTGACTGATGGAGGAGGACGTGAGGGGCTGAATGATGGAGGAGGAGGTGAGGGGCTGACTGATGGAGGAGGACGTGAGGGGCTGAATGATGGAGGAGGAGGTGAGGGGCTGACTGATGGAAGTGGAGGGGGACGTGAGGGGCTGAATGATGGAGGAGGAGGTGAGGGGCTGACTGATGGAAGTGGAGGAGGACGTGAGGGGCTGACTGATGGAGGAGGAGGTGAGGGGCTGACTGATGGAGGAGGACGTGAGGGGCTGACTGATGGAGGAGGAGGTGAGGGGCTGACTGATGGAAGTGGAGGAGGACGTGAGGGGCTGAATGATGGAGGAGGATGTGAGGGGCTGAATGTTGGAGGAGGACGTGAGGGGCTGAATGATGGAGGAGGAGGTGAGGGGCTGACTGATGGAAGTGGAGGAGGACGTGAGGGGCTGAATGATGGAGGAGGAGGTGAGGGGCTGACTGATGGAGGAGGACATGAGGGGCTGAATGATGGAGGAGGTGAGGGGCTGACTGGTGGGGGAGGAGGTGAGGGGCTGACTGGTGGGGGAGGAGGTGGAGGAGGCAGGATGAGGTTCTACACTCTCTTTGAACTCCTTGGACACGCAGAAGGGGACCCACGACAGGAGAAGTTTACCTGTGAACACAAACAGAGACGATCATTCCTTCATTCCTCTTCCTGTCTGAGAAGGAGAAGAAGAAACAATCTTTAATATAGCGCCTCTCAATATAAGAACAAAAATTTCTAATAAAAATTATTTAAAAGCATCATAACAAAAAAAAGTAAAAATTGTGAATAAACAATGCGAGGAAAGGGAAAAACCGTGCTGAGGTCACTGGGGTGGTCAAAAAGCTCCTCGGTACCAAGGCTCTGGACGTTGTAGGGTTGAGTGTGCTGACGCGGCTCTGCCGTTTCTTATGAACATCGGGGGAAGTTCCACTGGATTAACAGACCGGGGTGGTAGTCCTCCATTTTAAAAGGGAGACCACCCACCTGGTAAGGTCATTTGACGGCTTCTGTAGAGGAGGGTTTGTCAGAAAGTCGAACCTCAGATTCAGGAGAACTATGTGGTTTTCGTGCTGGCCGTGGAACACTGGACCAGCTCTATACCCTTAGGGGACTCCTGGAGTGTGCGCAAGAGTTCGCCCAACCAATCTACATGTGTTTGTGGATTTGGAGAAGGCGTTTGACTGCGTGCCTCGGGGGGCCCTGTGCGGGTTACTCCAGGAGTATGGGGTACCAGGCCCTCTGATCCGGCTGTTAGGTCCCTGTATGACTGGTGTCAGAGCTTGGCCCGCCTTGCCAGCTGTCAGTCAAGCTCGTTCCCAGTGAGAGTTGGACTCCACCAAGGCTTTGTCACCGATTCTGTTCATAACTTTTATGGACAGGATCTCTAGGTGCAGCCAAGGTGTGGAGGGCATCCGTTTGGGTGGCCTGAGGATCAAATCTCTACTTTTTGCAGATGATTTGGTCCTGCTGGCTTCATCAGAACGCCGTGGTAAAGAGAGCTGGCAAATCTCTCAATTTACCGATTGATATACGTTCCTACCCTCATCCATGGTCACGAGCTTTGGGTAGTGACTGAAAGAACGAGATCACGGACACAAGCGGCTGAAATGTGTTTTCTCAGCAGGGTGGCTGGGCTCTCCCTTAAAGATAGGGTGAGAAGCTTGGTCATCTAGGAGGAGCTCGGAGTAGACCTGCTGTTCCTCCACATCGAGAAGAGCCAGTTGAGGTGGCTCGGGCATCTAGTTAGGATGCCTCCTGGACGCCTCCCTGGTGAGGTTTTCTGGGCACGTCCAACTGGGAGAATGCCTAAAGAAAGACCCAAGACACGGTGGAGGGACTATGTAAAAACAGCAAGGTCGAACATCAGGAGAGACATTAGCTAGTGTGTGTGTGTGTGTGTGTGTGTGTGTGTGTGTGTGTGTGTGTGTGTGGTGTGTGTGTGTGTGTGTGTGTGTGTGTGTGTGTGTGTGTGTGTGTGTGTGTGTGTGTGTGTGTGTGTGTGTGTGTGTGTGTGAGGAGGGAGGAGACACTAAAACAAAACAAGAGACGACAGGTGAAACAAAACAAAGAATAAGGAAACGATCACCTCACCAAACCTAATCATGCTCTCCACCGTCTGCCTGTCTGTGGTGACCTTCAGGTAAACCATGTTTGAAGGAGGAGACAAGTCCTGATCCTTCAGATCCTTCACCTGAGACGTAACCTTAGGACAACAAACACGTAGAAAACAAAGTCTTAAATAACCCACGTCCACCAGAACCCACAGGTTCTGTGAGCTTAAGTCTGAGCTATGGAAGGACTTTCTAAAGGCTGTTTCAAAAATCAACAACACTACTTTACCACAAAGCGGAGGTGGCTACAGGGAGTCTGTAGTCGATCGTTAGTGGTCAGCCAGCGGTGGTAATGCGGCACGATTGTGTGTTTTTCACAAAAGATTACGCAATGGCAGTATAAAGGGGGTGTGAGGGTGGTCACAGACTTCCTCTTAGCTTAAACCTAACTTGCTTTTATCGTGACTGAGTCCACGCTCCTTACGTTTTTTTTGGTGAGCCGCTTCAGCCTCGCTCCAGGTTGCCTTCTCAGCTGATTCTGTTTTCAAAAGTGAAGCAGTCTCTCCATGTTTACTAGCAAGGCTCTCTACACATGATCATCAAAGGCATGATCTTCTTTAAGAAGTACGGTGCAGAGATGGCGCAATACTCTCACCCCACCATGCCGCCACGGCGCATTCAAAAGACACGCCATGGTGTTAGTATTACCCCAATATGCCGCCACGGTGTGTCTTTGGAAAGTAGCTTACAGGTTGGAGGCCACATTCACCTCTGACCTTCTGGTTTAGATGGTTACTTAGCAGGATGTGTGATGAACACGAGGTGAGGATCCTACCTGTTCTACGCAGCGAAGCACAACCAGCAGGTCTCTGGAGTTCTGGGCTTTGTCTGCAGCTTCCCTCACTGACCTGTGACCCTCCTGCAGCTCCTTCACCTTCAGCATCCTCCCTTTGATCATCTCACGCTCCAAATCGTAGATCGTCTGTTCAGACAGACAAACATGAATCAGCTTGAACAGGAAGTATTTTATTTTGGCGGGTTTAATTTTAGTTTAGTCACTCAGGAGCTCAGACACACACAGAGACCATACAAACGTCTGCTTGTCCAGAACCAGCAGGATAAAACAGTAATGAGTCAGTTAGTGAAGCTCCAGGAAAAGCGCAGACCTCCCTGGACCTGCTGGTGCTGGTCAGATACGTTTGTCTCCTTCAGGTTGGGTTTTGGTCGTTTGGCTTAAAATGTTTCCGATTGGGGACGTCATTTATCTGCTGCCTCAAACAGAAAAGTTTACCTGGATCTCCCTGGTTAAACGTTCCAGTCTGGCTTTCAGGAGCTCAGACAGAGATCTGAAGACCTCCTGCAGAGAATTTGTCAGGTGGAGCTCGGACCGAGCCAGAACCTTCAACCTGCAACACATCAGCAAAGAAGCCAGCCCAGGTTATTTCTGACAGGATTATGATTTTCAGATTAATTTCATCCTGATTAAAATATGTTTAGTGTTTTGGTTCCAGCGAACCCAAACCTGGCTCCTATCATCCTTTCAACACTTTCTGATACTTCTAGTTCTTCAAACTCCTCTGAGGTTCTGCTTCTGATCCTAAGTGATGAAGGTTCTTTAGTTCTAGTGGCGTCGGGTTCAGAACAGTGTTGGTACCTCATCTCCATGTCCTGCAGACTCTTTCTCGACGCCTCCATCTGAGCTCTGATTGGCTGCATGCAGGCGTCCAGCTTCTTCCTCAGACCGTCCACCGCTTCGCTGGCGAAGCTGAACCTGACGGAGGCGGAACAAAGGAGTGTTCTCTAAACGCGTCGCTGCGTGATACCAGCAGAAATCCAGAACGAACCCAGGTTCCCGTGAGACAGTGGGCATTACAATGTATGCCTATCTGACAACACAAGTTCATTAGACAGGCATACGCTGTCAGATCGTCACAAACTTTTTAAGCTGTATGACACGCTGATGGAATCATTTTACCAGTCAGATCATCATACGCTGTATGCTGAACTGACGGCTCCTATGAGCATAGCGGAGGTTTAGATGAATGCACGTGCACGCACATAAACTGCACGTATGCTGCTCTGATATGCATGGTGCTCTGCCAGAACAATGGCTTGGATGGAGACAAAGTCACTTTGGCGTTTAACAGCAACAGACGATGAAATAAGGTCCTCGGACATGCTGGAATTGTGCACCTGTGGTTCTTATGGGCCAACAGCTGACAGTCTCTACATGTGAGGTGGTTACAGGTGAAACAGAAGAGTCTGAGAGGCTCCGGCGGGTGGAGTTTGCAGAACTTGATGGGAGGACGGAAACGGTCATCTGAGGATGGAAATAAAAACAAAAGTTAGAATCCTGCAGACTGACAGCAAAACCAGAATCTGAAGAGAAAACAAACTAACTCATGATTTTATTTTACGAATGAGATCAGAGAGTCTGATCCAGCCTTTACATCTGAGGCCATTTTAGTATCAACAACAATTTAAAACACAGAAACCTGAGTCCGTCCTCTCAGATTCTAGAAGAACCCAGAGGTTCTGGCCCAACCCGGAGCTGTAACCTCACCATTGCAAGGCTGGTTCAGGAGTCTGTGGGATCGGGTAAGCGTAACTCTACGATGAGCCGTCACACAGTCGCCACACAGAGCCTCGTAACAGTCCAGACACCAATGTCTGGCTAGATTCCCATCACAGTTACTGCACTGAGGAGGAAAACAGGAGAAGAGTTAGGAAATGCCCTTCGGAGGAGCCGATTCCTTTAATTAGACCGGAGCTGCCTCAAGCTGCTGATGATTTAGATTTGAGGTGGCCACGCTGACCTGACCTGACCTGACTCAGCTGATCTGTAGACAAGGCCTTTACCTGCTGATTCAGGAGATCTCCTCGCTCTTCTATAGTCTCCATGTGGACCAGAGATGTCATCTCCTGAAAATCCAACAGAGTTCATCACTTCAGACTGATGACATCACCACACTTATGAAACTGTCCACATCAGAACCAATTTGCTGCATCAGAAGCAGGAAAATGCAGCTGAATGAGGCAAGCATCCTCCTTTGATCCAGCTTGATGAGCAAATCTACTCCTCCTCACACATCATCAACATTATTTAGGAAAAACAGTTGTGAGAATCCTGCTCCAATGATGGCTCAGAACTGTTATCACAAGAACTATACCTCCTGGGTAGAGGCCGACCGATATGGTATTTTTTTAGGGCCAGTGCAGATTTTTAAAGGATTTTGTTGCAGATGGCCGATATCTAAAGCTGATTATTAAGGCCGATATATCCATCCATCCATTTTCTGAACCCACTTGTCCACGTAGGGTCGCGGGGGTGGCTGGTGCCTATCTCCAGCGGTCAATAGGCAATCAGGCGGGGTACACCCTGGACAGAGAGCCAGTCCATTGCAGGGCAAAACAGAGTTACAAAGGACAAACAATCATGCACACACACACACACACCTAAGGACAATTTAGACAGACCAATCAACCTAACAGTCATGTTTTTGGACTGTGGGAGGAAGCTGGAGTACCCGGAGAGAACCCACGCATGCACAGGGAGAACATGCAAACTCCATGCGGAAAGATCCCAGGCCGGGAAGCGAACCCAGGACCTTCTTGCTGCAAGGCAACAGCTCTAACCACTGCGCAGCCAAAGCCTATATATATATATATCTATATATATATAGATATATATATATATATATATATATATATACTTTATTTATATAGCTCAATTCATACAATAAATGCAACTCAAAGTGCTTTACAAATAAAAATGACCCCACATACCCACATTCCCACCCCTCCCCATAAATATAACAGCAATATGGCAATATTACAGTACCACCATCACACTCATCGTCTGACACACACACACACACACACACACACACACACACACACACTTAAGGACAAAAGATAAAAATGGAGCACACTGGGCTGAGTTGAGATGAGCCAGACAAGTTAAGGAAACGCCAACTGGGGAGCCATCTGCCCCAACAGCAGCAGACCCAGGGGAGGGAGGGCGGAGACCCCCCATCTCCACCCAGGCACACCTGGAAAGCACCCAGGCCCCCACAGTCAACCACCACCACCCATTTTAGCAGCACATTAATTGTGAAAGACAACTGAACACTCAATGTGTGTAATTTAAAATTAATAAGTATAAACATCTCTTAATATTCATTAAACTTCAAATGTAAAAACAAACAAAAAACAAACAAACAGTGAGTTGGGTTCCTTCCTTCAGTCTAGTAGTGGCAGCAATTGGCCACATAGGTGCCTGATTTTTTTCTTTTATTGGCTTTTTAAAATCATTTTGACCGATTACTGATATAGAAAAGATTGAATACGTCGGCCTCTCCTACTGGGTGTTGCTGCCTGCATGGAAGCATGACAGCATGGCTATAGTACCTCCAAGAAGCACGATTGTATCGTTTCCTCCTCCCAAACTCCGAGGCCCAAGCAGAATCTCTGTCCACCACTGCCTTTGCAGGAATGCATGCTTTTGTTGGTCAGCATAAACGCAGAGATCACCACACACACACACACGCACACGCACACGCACACACACACCAAAGCTAGGATTCTTTAGTGCCAGTGTGCTCGGGTAGTTGGTGTGTTTGCTCAACAAAGGCAAGAGGTCCAGGGGGTTCAAGCAGGAAGATAATGTGATGCAGAACTTCTTAGATGTTTTCTTCTTAGATGAAGCATCATTACTGGGATCCCCTCAAGAAATCACATCACTCCTGTTCTTAAAAACCTACACTGGTTGCCAATAGAAACCAGGATCATTACAAGATCCTACTACTTACATTTAAATCTGTACATAGCACGGCTCCACTTTATCTATGTAATTTACTAACTATTGCTACCACTTCCCGATCTCTTAGATCCTCATCTGCACTTCATCTGGTTCAACCTCGAGCTCGCCTTACCACCATGGGGAGCAGAGCTTTCAGTTGCTCTGCTCCACGGCTCTGGAACTCACTTCCCTCTGCCATTAGAAATACGGACTCTTTTCCATTATTCAAGGCACACCTCAAAACCCACTTATTCAAACAAGTTTATTCCTTTTAGACCTAGACTTTAGAATTGTTTCAAATTTTTATGTGTCTTGTTTGTTCTTATTGCCCTATCTAACCTCTGTTGTTTTTTGTTTTTATCTTTGTAAGGTGACTTTGGGTTTGAGAAAGGCGCCCTCAAATAAAATGTATTATTATAGTTTTATTATAGATGTTCAGTAAAGCTAAACAACATGAATCGTTTCAGAGTATCAGGAGATTTCAGAGCCTATTAGGAGAAAATACTCCTAAATAAATGCGTGGGAGTGTGGCTGACGCACCAGTCATTTCAGGAGCATAATGATGAGAACTAATGAGACGTCAAATCAGCCTAGAACTGTTTAAATGGACGATTATGAGACGCTGGACTCGCTGCGGATCTCAGCCTCGCCACTAGGGGTCACTGTTATAAAACTCGCCGCTAGGCAGCAGAGATAACGGAAGTAAAACAACTTTAAGTAGCAGCATCTTTCATTTCTGATATCTGCAGTTTCATAGGCTGTGTCTCAATTCAGGGTCTGCATCCTTCGAAGGACCCAACCCACCCGGCCGACGTGGGCTGCGTCCTCCGTCGGCCGGGTAGACCGGATGTTAACGGCTGTGAATTTGGACAGGCCTAGCCTTCATGAACTCCCTCGGCGAACGTTCCGTCGCCTAGCAACCGTGGAACCGCTGGGCAGAAGGAACCTTAAACGATGGAGCTCGACGTTTTATTTAGCTTTTTAACCCCCAGAAACCCAAATTTAGAAAACAACTGCAAAATATTTTTAACCTTTCACATGTTGTTCTAGGAGGCCAGATAAACGGGCCTATTTACACATTTTAACAGCCAATAGTGTTGCAGAACTGAATAGGACCTATTAGCAATGTAAATGTGGTTTTAAAAAGAAAAAAAATGGGGAAGGTTTATTTTTGTAGACTTAAATCTGATGTTGTGATACTACAACCGTGGGTCTCTGGGGGTTAATCATTTCCTTGACTGTTGGAGAGCTAATTCAGAGAAAATACTTTAGACTAGCTGAGCCTGAGCAAAGATGTGATAATAGTTTTTAATACTTTCTAAGGGTCTTAATTTGACCAAAACCGATTTATCACCTTTTAAGACTTTTCAAGACCCAGCGGATACCCTCTAGTAAACAATTCTCATTTGTAAACAAAAATAAAATTCAAGAGTTTAATGCAGAACTGATTTTATTTAGATATTTCTTTTATATGTACATGTTTAATCTTCATTAACCATTTTTTTCTAGCAAAGTAAAAAGCTGTCAAAGTTCTTCCTTCTCTCCTGTGCTCTCTGCTACTCTGCAGCCTCATGTCCTCCCAGATCAGCTCCAGAAGCTCATCGCTGGCACCTTCCCCTGGATGCCCATTTTCTCCAGAATAGTCTTAACAAACATGTAAGAAAAGAAACAGGAAGAGAAAAGAGGACAACGGGTTATTCCTTTCATGTTTTCGCAGAAAAAAATATACTCAAACGAGTTTTTAAAATATGAGATGTTATTGTACCTCCATGCCACAGCCGCCGAATACTTTGCTCCGGTGATCATGTGGTCCATCTCCGCCCTAAGCTTAATAAATTCCCTGGTTTTCTCTTTTGGTCCTAAAATACAAACTTCTATTAAAATCAGGGGGAAACGTAGTGGGAGAAGTACGACACCGAGCGCGGCCGAACATACGAGCCGAGACCGCAATACAAGCACTTTTACTGTAACATTTCTAACTAAAATAACGTTCATGTATCACAAAAAGTCCTTAAACTGACAGTTTTCAAGTTTATACTTACATTTATATGCGCAATCCTCTCCGACAGCTCCCGCTTCACTGTCCGCCATTGTTTTTAAGTTTTTCTGCCGGCCGGCCCGCAAGGCATCTTGGGAAATGCTACCTATTGAAGGATACACCCGACCCATCCTTCATTCAGGCGAAAAGAAGGCCGCATTCGTCGACCGCATTTGAAGGAGTCTGCGAATTGGGACAGGCCGAGTCGCGGCGCTGTGACGTAACCGGCCGACGAATCCGGCCGAGGTAGGATGCAGACCCTGAATTGAGACACAGCCATAGCCTGTCGGGTTTCGATCAGAACGGTGTCACACCTGGTCAGAGTCAGCTGTGGTATCGGAACCGAACCAAAACGCCCCGTGATTTTTATCTTGAGAGGCGCTATTGAAAAGATCTCCTTCTTCTTCATCAAAAACCCAGTCAGGCGGACAGGAAATGAGGTTTTAACTGTGAAAAAGTTATTGTCAAACAGCTGATGACCTTAAACACAAAAATTTATACTCATGTCACACTGATAGCAACAGAAGCGGAAGATGTTCGGGTTGTAAATTATTTTATCTCAGGTGATTCGTTAGCTACACCCGCCTGTCCTGCTCGGAACCACCCCTCCCCTCCCCTCCCTTCTCCCCTGATAGCGGACTTACTTTGTCGTTTACGGTTCTGGTTCCGGACTCCTCTCGCTCCATTCGCGGTGTGTGTAACTCCGTAGCATAAACTGTACTTCTTTCCGCTCAAGGCTGAGAGCGCATGCGCAGACCCCAATAGGGTATGATCGGAATTGGTCGGGTCTAGGATGTCGTCACTTTTAGCTAGCGACTCTTTTTATTTATTTATTTTATTTTTTTCCCTCAAACTTTATTTCCAACTTGCAGCAGAATTATAAAGAGGATAAACAAGCAAAAACAAATTAGTGACATAACATATAACATGATTTAACGGTAGGTGCCAGGGGTTTGTTGACATACAGAACCTGATATTTGCCAATTTTGGTTGAAATAAATAAAAGAAGAAAGAGAAAAGAATAACGATACATGTTTAAAGTTGTCCAGGTCAGAGCAAAGTCATTATGATATTATAATCAGAGCATATTTTCAGCGTCTTTACAGCTTTAATATTTTGTGAGGTAGATAATGTGTGCAAGTATAACTTCGTTTTTGAAAATGCAGAATAAAGGTTGGGTTTTCAGCACTTTGCATTTATGAACATAAAATTTAGCCAAAGTGTAAAAACAAATTAACTATTAAAAAAAGCAGGTTCGTATTTTTTTTTTCATATTTTGTACATCCAAACAGCACATTTTTATATTGAAGTTGGAAGGAAGGCAGAATTTTTTCTTCCACAAAAAAAAAAAAAAAAACAGGAAGCCTTCCATAGTTCTTGAGTAAGTGTGCATGGCCAAAATAAGCGAGGAACAGTCTCTGGGTCCGAGTTGCAAAAGGTACAGGCTGTATCAATGTCTTTCTTGTATCTAGTCAGGAAGGATTCAGCAGGATAACGCCGATGGATGATCTTATATGATATTTCTTTCAATAAGAACCTGTTTGGAAGTGTCCACGTTTTTTTCCAGTCAGTATCAGGGTACATGCTGTTCCGATGTGCAACCACAAAAGAGATACGGACACAGCCCATTTGAAATAAATTACGAATACTTCTGTTCTTGTTGCGGAAGTCAGTTAAACACAATTTCCCCACAGGTGTATCCAATGGATCCAGAGAAAAAAATTGAGTTGTATGCACATGTAACTCTTCTTCTGCGAGCTCCCGCTGTCTACTTCAGTGTGTTGTGTTTTTTAACTCCAAGCAGTTTCCTATAGAAGCGCTTGTTGACTCTGGTTGTGAGCAGTCCTTGTTGGACCCGGACTTAGTAAAGAGATGGAAGATCCCAACCATTCGGCTCCCTACTCCGCTCTCTATGTCTTCCTTGGACGACCGGAACCTGTCAACCATTACTCACCAGACCATCCCGTTGCAGTTTCGAGTGTCAGGTAACCACACGGAGGCTTTGGCTTTTTATGTGTTTCCCTCTCCTCAGTCACCTCTGGTCCTGGGACACTCCTGGCTCTCCCTCCATAACCTCCACGTGAACTGGGAGACTAACAGAGTTGAGAAATGGAGCTCCAGATGCTCACAGACCTGCCTCCGCTCAGCCTCACCCATTCTCCACAGCCCCGCCGCTCCTCCAGCAGAAAGGACAGACCTGTCGTCTGTGCCATCGGTCTACCACAACCTCAGCCTAGTCTTCAGCAAGGATTGGGCATCATCTCTCCCCCCACACAGGCCATTCGATTGCAGCATAAACCTGCTGCCAGGGGCTCCTCTTCCCTCCAGCCGCCTTTACCACCTCTCTAAACTAGAGAGAGAGCATGGAGAGCTACATTCAGGAGTCTCTGGCCGCCGGCCTCATAAGACCATCCTCATCACCCCTAGGAGTGGGTTTCTTCTTCGTTCCGAAGAAGGAAGGAGCACTCAGACCCTGTGTTGATTACAGGGGCCTGAACCAGATTACTGTTAAGAACAAATACTCGCTGCCTCTACTAACATCTACTTTTGAGCCCATTCAGGATGCCAGCATCTTCAGTCGCCTGGATCTCCGGAACGCTTACCATCTGGTTCGAATTCGTCAGGGAGACGAATGACCGTGTTTAAGACTCCCATCGGACATGTCGAATACTTGGTGATGACCTTTGGTTTAACTAATGCACCAGCCATGTTCCAGTCCCTAGTGAACTCTGTTTTAGGAGACTTTCTAAATAAGTTTGTGACTGTTTATTTAGATGATATTTTGATTTTTTTCTAACTCCTTAGAGCAACATGTAAGACACGTTAGGGCCGTGTTACAGCACCTCCTGGAGAACCGCTTATATGTAAAGGTGGAGAAATGTGTGTTCCACGTCCCCAAGGTAAAGTTCCTTGGTTTTATCTTTGAGAGCGGGAGGCTAAGGGCAGACCCTGAGAAGGTCAGTGCAGTCACTGAGTGGCCCATTCCAACTTCTCGAAAGTAGTTACAAAGGTTCCTGGGCGTCACCAACTTTTACAGGAGGTTTATAAGGAACTACAGCCAGACCGCCGCCCCGCTGACAAACCTGACCTCTTTTAATCGCCCTTTTGTTTGGTCCTCAGAAGCTGAGGCTGTCTTCCAGACCTTAAAGAGGAAGTTCACTAACACCCCTGTGCTCCACAGACCTGATCCGCAACGCCAGTTCACCCTCGAAGTAGACGCTTCCGACATCGGCGTCGGCGCTGTACTCTCTCAGGTATCTCCCACGGATAATAAACTTCCCCCCTGTGCCTTTTTCTCTCGCCATTTAACTCCCGCAGAGAGCAGATATGACCTGGGTTACCGAGAGCTGCTGGCTGTAAAGCTAGCTATTGAGGAGTGAAGACACTGGTTGGAGGGGGCAGAAACACCTTTCGTCATCTGGACTGACCACAAGAATCTGGTTTACCTGAGAGAAGCTAAGAGGCTTAATCCATGACAGTACAGGTGGTCTCTCTTCTCATCATGTTTCAATTTCCAGATTTCTTACCGCCCTGGGTCTAAAAACAAAACCAGACGCCCTCTCCAGGTTGTACGCTCCGGATCAGGAGGTTGAGCCCTCCACCATTCTCCCCCCAGCATGTGTGGTGGGAGAAGTCACGTGGGAGATACGGGATCAGGTGCTGGAGGCTCTTAAAACTAACCCAGGTCCAGGTAAGGGTCTGCCTGGCCGGCTTTGGCAAGGTCATCCATTGGGCACACACCAACAGGTTTTCCCTGCACCCAGGTGCAGGTCGCACTGTTGCCCTATTGAAACGGACTTTCTGGTGGCCTGATATGTAGAAGGACTACATCTCGGCGTGCCACAGATGTGCCCAACAGAAGGGGGACCATCGGTCTCCGGCAGGCTTACTAAACCCCCTTCCTACTCCCTCACGCCCCTGGTCACACATAGCCTTAGATTTCGTCTGTGGGTTGCCTGATTTGCATGGTTTTTCCACCATGCTCTAGTGGACAGGTTTTCGAAGGCTTGTCACCTCGTACCCCTAAAATCTCTCCCTTCCTCCTCTATTACCGCTAAACTCCTCGTTAAGCATGTGTTCAGGTTGCACGGGATTCCAGAGGAGATTCTCTTGGATCGGGGACCTCAATTCATCTCCAGATTATGGAAGGAGTTTGCCAAGGCTCTGGGGGCTAAGGTCTCCCTCACTTCCGGATATCACCCACAGACGAATGGACAATGTGAGTGCATGAATCAAGAGCTCAGGGCCATGCTGCGCTGCATCTGCTTCGCACAACCGTCCTTCTGGAGCTCTCACCTCACCTGGGTGGAGTACGCCCACAACTGACACGTTTCTACCGCTACAGGTCAGTCTCCATTTGAAGCCTCTCTAGGTTACCACCCACCCTGTTTCCCCAGCAATCCTCGGCTCCATCTTCGGTCCCTCAGTTTCTCCAGGGGGCCAGACGGGCATGGGCGTCCACCTGGGCCGCTCTGGACAGGATGGCTGACAGGAACGAGCGGCTGACGGACCGCCGGCAACGTCCGGCCCCGGATTACGCCCCTGGTCAGGAAGTACGGCTCTCGTCTAAGGACATCCCGCTGAAGGCCACCTCCCGTAAGCTCACTCCCAGATTCATAGGTCCATTTAAGATCCTGGAGGTCCCCACTTCCTCCATGTTTCGACTCGAGCTCCCAGGCTCGCTCCAGATTCACCCGGTTTATAACGTTTCCCTGGTCAAGGCTGTGGGTTCTAGCCCCCTCTGTCCTCTGCTGGCTCCCCTGCCACCTGCGCGGTACTACAAGGGGGGCCTCGTCTACACGGTTCGCAGGATCCTGGATTTCCGGCCCCGCGGCCGTGACACCCAGCACCTGGTCGATTGGGAGGGGTACGGCCCGGAGGAGCGTTTCTGGGTCCCCCGCTCCTTTATTGAAGACCCGTCCCTGATCCGGGACCACGAGGCTGCGTCTGCTGGGACGCCAGGAGGCGTCCGTTGGGGAAAGGGGGGGTACTGTCATGCGCCGGGGTGAGTGCTCCTTTCATTTTTGTTCCATATTTGAGCTGCTGTGTTTCAGGAGAGGGAGGCTCCAGCTGCAGCTCATTAACAATCAGCGAGTCCCGCTATAAGAGGAAGAGAACACATCTCGATGCTGGATGATCAACTACAACTTGGTAGTTCTAGCCCTTTGTGTATCCAGGTTAACTCTAGTGATTTTTGGATTTCAGAACCCTTGTGAATATTGTGCTTACCTGTTCCCAGGATTTTTGGATCGTTTGTGGACCTTACCTTGACTCCTCAGGATCTCCTTGGACTTCTGAAGCTTCTGGAGCTTCTCTGGTTTTTCTGTGGCTCCTCTGATTGACTACTTGGACATTTCCACGATCCCGCTGGATTACTCACCTGTACTACTCTTCAATGGGAATTTAACCCAGCCAGGAGGCTATGTCTCTAGGGGCGTATCTCAGGGCCCTGTCCTTTTACTAGTGTGAAATTCCAAAATGTTATATTTTCAGTGCACTCTGTTTTTCATGCAGGCTGAACAAGAAAATAGTCTCCTACACCTATCTCCTGCATTCGCTTCTGATAGAAAATAGACAGTGAAACACTAGGATTTGAAAATCCTGACAGATCATTGTTACACTGTGAATTAACATTCATGCACCCATAATCATAACCCGGTGATCATGACTCACAATGGGAAAGGCTGTTGTTGGTTTAGTGTTCGGTAATCAGCAGAGAATGTCTCGGCTAGTTTAAGCTAACGGTTAGCATT